ACCGAGAGAGAGAGAGAGAGAGAGAGAGAGAGAGAGAGAGAGAGAGAGAGAGAAGATACTAGTATGATATGATATCGAACATTTATTGTATTTTTAGATTATAACATTGACTGTTCTCGACCCCCACAGCCCTTCTGTGACGAGTTGGAGCTGCCAGGTGATGATGACGTCACAGTCCCGGCGGGCCCTGTACGTGGGCGGGGCTATGCTGTCCTGTTTCCTGCTGACCACCGTGTACCTGAGGGACAACAACAACAGCCCCAACACAGCCTGGACTGTGACAGCACTGACCGAACCGTCGCTGCCAGCTGTTTCCCCCCCAGCTGTTGTGTACGTTGATGGTTCATTTTTAACCCTATCTGTACGCACTGGTGTCATTTTGTACCGCGGGGGTTGTATTCTTCACATACTAAAATGCTTCTAAAACGAATATCTCTGAAACTTTCAGTATTTCTCAAAAAATCATTTGGACAGGCTGCTATTCAAAGCGTACGGATCGGATTAACGAGCAAACTTCCTCTTTGGAAAGTGGTTGCATAGAGTTCCCCACATCGTACGGATACGATAGTAAAACACGACTTACGGATGGGGTTAAAGAATACTTTTTAGATTATGTAGATGTTCTTACCCCTCCCCTCTCCACCCCCCTAAAGAAAGTTTTTAAATAAAATTGATACAATTTGGGGAAAAGAGTGGAAGATGGAACATGATACAATCTTTCTTTAATGCAAATGTTTTTAAGCCCACATCGACAGAGTTTAGAGAAAAAGAAGTTTGTAGAAGATGGAACATGGATACTTTTAAAAAAATGAATATATTATATTGAGAAAATAGGAGACAAATTATACTTCCCCTAATCATTGTATCATGACTTGGACACTTGTTATTTTTCAATCAAAAACTATGATGGAATCAACCAAACAAAATGAATACGCTTTAAAATATCGACTCAAGTTAGATAGTTTAGGAGGAGGGCTTTTGACCCTGCCTGTCAGAACCGACTCGGGCATAGAAGGATACAACATTTGAGCAGAAAGGTAAGATAATTGATAGGCTAAAGAGTATCTCCCTACTTGGGAATCAAAGTCAGGTCTGCTGTGTGCGACAGTGATACGCCTAGCGGCAACACCACAGACACCAGTAGGCTACGTTGATGTTATGATGAGATAGAGTTAAGAGGTGGTCTAGTAGTTAGGAAGTTATTATGGGCTCACAACTGAAAGCTTGTGAGCTCGAATCCCATATGGGGCTTGATATTGCGTCCTTGGGAAATGCACTTTACCCGAATTGTCTTCACTTCACCCAGGTGGGAATGGGTACCCAGTCATAGAAAACGAAATATCTAGATCTAGTTAGTTTGTTAGTATTTGAGTACTTTATCGACTGCTTGCACTTTTTGTCCAGGATGTTGATAATGTTTCTAAGTGTTCCAGGCTCTGCTGGGGATAATCATATACAGACTTCAACATAAGTTAAGGACCACTTGCAAATTTGGCTAAAATTTCCTGAGGATTTCCATGCTGCACGGGGTGGTTTTGTCCCTTTAGGAAGCACTGCGGTATGCATTGTTAACCCATTAACACTTTCAGCTTGCTGTGTTTAGATTGTAAACCCACACAGCTTTTTATTCATCAAGGACATAATAATATATACATTGGTTATACAATAAATGCTGTTTATGCTGATGGTTATTATTGTTATTAAAAGGATTGAAGAGTGATGGAATGAGACTAGATGAGATGTTGGGGAGTGAAATGGAAAAGGATGAAATAAGATAAAGTGAAGTGAGGTGAAAAGGAATGGTGTCGGATTGGATGAGTAGAGCAGGAATGAGATGATGCTGCGGGATGGAAAGGGATGGGATTGGATGAGAGGAGTGAATTAAATAAGATGGGGTGAGATGAAGCTAGACGGAGAGGGATGGGAATAATTTAACGAGATAAGATTTATAGTTTTTAGGCTGCGTGATTTGATACTTTTATAAAGTGACCTTAGACAGGATGCTAGGAGGTTCTAAATGAAAAAGATAGAGGATGGGATTGAAATAGGATGATGTGGGATACAGTTAGTTGATGATTAGATTCAGTAAAGTACAGTGAGACGGAAGATTTTGAAAGAGATGAGTGGGCTGAAAGCTAGACATGTTCTTTATAAGACCGTTTTAATGTGATACTATGTTTTGTGAGACAGTGATAAATTGTTGAAATGTAAACCTAATTTCCTTTGGGAAAATGTGTAACGTACCCATAGATTTCACTTTATGAAACCAATCTTTTGGTGTCTGGTTGTAATTGACATTTCGCTACCTCAGAATTACAAAGTTCTATCTGACATTTTTGGCCTTTTTGAGTATCTAAGACCAAGGGATCAGAAGCAATAAATGCTCTATCTGCTTTCTCACAATAGTAAGATTATTCGGAATCGTTATCAAGACATTCAAAGAATTGTAGTTGAAAAAGCTTGACATTTTGAGAAACTCAATTTTTTAAATATCAAATTTTTCTAAACTAGATAGGCTTACAGAGCAGATAGAACTTTGTAATTCAAAGGTAGCGGTTTGTTTAGTTAATTGGCAGTCACCCTTATACATTTCTGGAGGTTTTGAGATGAAGCAGTTATTTGAATAAAGACACCAAGGACATAATATCTTAAAATTACAGTTCTTAAATTCATTTTGTTTGGTTGATTCCATCATAGTTTTTGATTGAAAAATAACAAGTGTCCAAGTCATGATACAATGATTAGGGGAAGTATAATTTGTCTCCTATTTTCTCAAAACTTCAAAGAATGATTTAGGCACTTGTTGAGTAATTCTGACAATTTACATTCATCTTTTAAAACCCCAAACTATTTCTCTTCTGTCCACTTCCCTAGGCAGGAAAGTGCAGTTTGGCTTGGAAAAAGACATTCCCACAGTTTTCGCGCCGGAGATCCTGAGTCTACTGCGAGACCCAAGCTACAACATCTGTTGGATGATGACTTTTCTTACTGTAGACGGCAGGCACCCTTTGTGGTAGGCTAAAGGAAACAGTAGTTCTTTAATGTTTGCTGATGATGCTTTTCGTTGATGATGCTGTTCGTTGATGATGCTGTTTGGTGATATTATTGTTTTTGCTGTTGGTGTTGTTGTTATGATTGAAAAGTCTCATTTATAGACATTAAGAACCTTTTTTAGAATTAGAATGACGTGTTGTTGCTGTTGTTGTTTATGTGGCTGATTATTTGTTTGTTGATGTTCTTGTCTTGTGTTATTGCTATTGTTGTTTTCTGCTGCTGTTGAATATAATATAAATACAGAGTAGACTTCAAGCACCATTCATGGTATCTTTGAAAAGTTGTTTTTACTATTTTGTTCATTGGTTGCTGTTTTTTCAACAGAGGTACTTAATAATGATATGATAATTATTATTATTGATGTTATTATTATTATTATTA